TCCTAAGAAAAATAGGTCAGCTGCCTCTGGCAGACCAGGCTCACACCCGTGGGCAGTGCCCCTGGGGGGGCGGCAGTTTAAGCTGCCTGTCCAACCCTACAGCCCTCTCCCATCTCTACTCTGGAGTGTGCCAGGCTAATAAGCAACTGATGCCACAGCTCCACCCTCAGCAAGATAAACCATTTTCAACATACCCCTTCTCCACCCCCACCTCCCCATGAGTTCAGCCTGTGTCTGTCCCCTTACCTAGACTTTCCCTCTGGTACCTCAGGCATCCTTTAATCCAGGCCCTGAGATGGGGACTCTGACTTTGGTAGTTTCTGAGTCACCTAGCAAGCAGGAAAGCAAAGAGTGTGCTCAGGGCCATAGCACTCGGAGAGGAATGGCTTTCACCTCGTACTTACACGCTAACTGCCCCTGCACGCTAACTGCCCCTGTCCTGCCACACTCCACACATGTACACACAAACACGCAGGTGCTCTCACATGTGTGCATGCACATATACAGGCTTCACGTGCACATATAGGAATATTGTACTGGTGCACGCACACACATGTGCATACACACAGGCACATGTGTGTGCATACATGCAGGCATAAGTGTGCATACATGGGGTACACACATATGCACACACATAATGAGCATGTGCATATGCACACAGTGCAGGGACAAACACATATGCACACACATGCAGGGACACCCATATGCACACATATATACAGGGACATATATATGCACACACACATGCAGGGACACAAATATGCACAAAAATAGGGGCACACATGTGCATGCACATACAGGAACACATGCACACACATGCATGCAGGGACATGTGTGCATGCACACATACAGGGACACATATATACACACATGCGGGAACACATATGTGGAGGCACATGCAGTGACACATATGCACACATGTAGAGGAACATCCATATGCATACACACATGCAGGAACAGACACATATGCACACAGATGCACGGATATACATATGCACACACATTCAGGGCACACACATGCAGACACATGCAGGGACACACATATGTGCACTCACATGCAAAAACGTGTGCATGCACATAAGTGAGAACACATATATGCAGGGGACACATGTACACACACATGTAGGGACATACATATGCATATGCACATGCAGGGCACACGCATATAGACATAAATATGCAGGGACATATGTGTGTGCACACACCAGTGTACACACACACATATACACACACACCTCCGGAGAGCTGAAAGCTCTCACCAGTTATAGCTCTTTTCGTCATTCAGATCTACTCTTCACTCAAGCTTCCTAGGAAGCAGCAGAAGGGGACCACTCCCTGGGAACCATAAGAAGGCCACAGGATGTGAAGAAGAGAGCACCCTTAAATCTCAGGCCCAACCCTCTTTGGAGCTTATTTTCCACCCACACATCTTGGGCCCAGCAAACAGAAAGGCTATAGGGGGTTGAGGGAGCACACAGCAGGGCTGAGAAAGAGAGACCAAGGGAGAAGACACATAGCCACACAGCCGGCCAGGCTCTGAGAGCCAGCATCCTGCGGGGGAGAGGACAGAGAGGAAAAGCAGGTACCAGGAGAGCGCAAAGGCACAGAAGTGATGAAGAGAGGGGCCAAGAGATGCTGGGGTTCAGAATCTTCCAGCTAGGCAGCCTCTGCTTCTGGAGTAACCAGATCTCAGTTTTCTATCTCAGAACCATAAACCTGAAACCAGCCAGGGTCTGAGACTTGGCAACTCTAACCCTGGTGCATGCCGGGCCATAGGCCAGCAGCTGAGAGCTGACTCTCCCCCTCAGTCATGCTCTTTCCAACACATCGCCTCCCCAACTTCCCCCAGGGTACATGCTTCTAGACACACCCCTGCCTCCAGAGCGCATATGTGCCGGACAGACACACATACACATGTAAACACACACACACAAACACACACACACACACACACAGATCACTTTCTGAGTCAAGACCTTCTCAACCAATAGGCTGCCTATGGGGTCTTGCTAGCAGCCTTCAGGTCTAAACCTCCTTCCTCTCATCTTCATAGTCAGAAGGAAGAGGGGTAGGTAAAGGCCAGGTAAAGAGTAGAGGGTACTGGCTTAAGTACCAGCAGGATCTGAATCAAAATCTCACTTTATTTGGGATGCTGTAGTCAGGGATAATCCCACCACAGAATCTGTGGTAGAACAAGGAGGCAGCCTTGGGAATAAAAGCCCATCTCCCCTCCCCATTCAGGGTCCATAGTCAGTTAATCAAGGCCCACAGTCCTCCCAGAGAGGGGGAACTCCCCACAGCTTGCTGGGCAGCCGGCTGAGATGCTGAGACCACTCCAACCCCCATCTTCCAGACTCATGGTACCACTCCAGCCCCTCTCTCCATACCCTCCCAGCTGGGCCACTGATCTCGGTCACTTCCCAGACACACATGATCAAAGCCAAAAGGAGGAGCCCATCTGACCCACACCCCAGGACCTGAGAGAGTCCCAAGGCAACACTACCTAAGGGTCCCACTCCCTTTCACCTCTCTGCTGGAGCAGCCCTGCTTCAGCCACATCCTAAGAGTGGTATCTCAAAGTCCCTCCCACTCAGGGATTTCCCCAGAAGTATCCTCTGCCAGTCAGGGAGCAGCTGAGCACACACAGGAGCCTCACCAGCACCTGAACATCCTGAACACAGCTAGTGCTTCTCACTGGAGTAGACGCCCCTCCCTCCAGAGGCTGCGTGCTGTAGCTCTCCCTGACTCTGTGTCCTTCTAGTAGCCTCTGACTGCCAGCAACATTCCAGCTTTACAGGCCTTGCAAAGGACTTCCAAGCAGCTTTGAGGCCTGTACATCCTGCATACATGTCCCTGGGATGCAGGAAACAAGAGGTTCTGCCCAGACAAGGTCAACTTGTGAAAGAGTCTTGGTTCCTGACAGAGGCAACCTTCTGAACTCCCCCCAACACACTCCCAGCTCCTGATGCTCTGACTACCCCAAAGGAAAAAAACTCAGGAGGAGTCTGATATCCCAGGGACATTCACATGACAACAATAATAACGTTAATATTTACTGGACACATATTATAAAACACTTGTTTCTTTACAGCACTAATGCCCACTAAAAAAAAAATTCCTATAAGCTAATACTACCATTAGCCCCATTTCCCATTGAGGCAAGTGACATTTGGAGAGATTGGGAGTTTGTCCAAGGTCATGGGGTTAGCAAGTGGTAGAGCCAGGATTCAAATCCAGGTAATCTGACTCTAGACCTAGGTCCTTAACCACCATACTTTATGCTAGAAGACTCGAAAACCAACAAGGTCACCCTCTGCTTCCACACAGAGGTGCATGTCAAGCCATCCCAGACAGAAGGATCTCTCTGAAGGAAGGCATAACCTTCCTACCCAACAACCTTCAATGTCGGGAAGTCCTTCCTTCTGTCTTGCCATTCTGTGTGTTGCTGCAATATACACCCATGTTCCTTCACTCTCTGCTTAAACTTGCAAAGTCCATTCCCTCCACCCTGACTTGGGTTTGGAGGCTATTTCAGAGCCTTTCCTGCAGCGTCTCCTTTCTATTCAAAGATCCCAGCTCATCCTTTTGTGCTTTCAGGGACAGTCCCAAAGCAGGAACATACCAAAAACTGGAGGGGAGGAGGGGAGGGCACTGGAAGACTACAAGGAAACGGGGGAGAGGATGAGGATGAGACTACAGGCGGATTCTCAAGCTCACAGACCCACCTCACACACACCCCCACTCCATAAGCTTCTGCTGTCCCTGGCCTCAGCTTTCCCTCCTGACAAATGGAGAGTTTTAGAACCTCCCAGATCAACACATCACTTAACAAAATCACCCTTCCCTGCGCCTCGCCGGTTCTGTTTTCAGAACCACCCCCCTATCCCCAATAGCACAGAAGACATATTCCATTCCAGAAACTTTCCCAAAGCACTGCCCCCTGCGCATCCCCAACAAGGTGACGGCAGGACTCTACAGAAGGCGCCTCCTGCCCCTCTTCTGCCCCAGTGCGGTTGGGAATGGGTGTTCTGGCTGGCGGGTCCTCCCTGCCACCTGCCACCCACCGACCGGTTCTCTCCCGCCGCCATCTCCTCCCGGCTTTGTGAACTTGCCCGCACCGGGTCGTGTCTGCGCGCTGAGAGCCGTGAGCTCAGAGTCCTGGCACCCTCTGGGCTCCGCTCCGACTTCCATACAAGGGCCGAAAGCCCGGGGTGCCACCCAGAGGCTTGTAGGTCGTTCTGTCAGTCTCCAAAGCAAAAGCCCGCGCGCTCACGCACGCAGCGCCCGACTCGCGGGTTTCCCTCCTGTCTCCTCCCCATCTCAGCCTAGGGAACGCGGAAAGAGAAGGATCCTCCTCCGCCCGATTGCAGCAGCGGGGACCCCCACCCCCGCCGCCTTCGCCCCTCGCTAGCTCAGCCTCGCGGCCCGGGAGGGCGGCGTGGGATCCGCGCGGCTGCGGCGCGCTCCCGGGGAACTTTTACCTGGCCGGGGCCCAGATGCAGCTGAGAACTGCACCGGCCAGGGCCAGCCAGAGGCGGACCCTCCTCAAAGCCGCTTAATCGATTTTCCTCTCACGGGGCGCCTGGCGACCCCCGCCCCTGCAAGGGGGATCCGATCTCAAGCTGCGAGCTGTGTGGGTAGGAGGGGCGCGAGCGAAGCGCTAGGCGCCCGCAGGGTGGAGAACCCCGTTCCTCGCAC